CTCTACTGAGGGTGACAAAGTGAGACTCTGTCTCTACCAAAAATAAATAAATAAATAAAAAGCTAAAAATCAGAAATAAATACTCCATGTGCCAAGATCATATTACAAATATATAATCACATATCACTTTCTTTAACAGCACAGTGTTCACGCTTTAAGGATCTGAATGCACGTCCTTGTTCAACATGAACATGGCGAAAGGCCCCAAAGTGTTTGTCTCCTGATTCCATGTGGCGGGAGCCAGAACAGCATATCACATCAACAAGCGTTTTCTCAGGCCATTTTTGCTCTTTTCATGACTCTTTTCTTAAAATGCCTGAAAAAGGAGCTCTCACACTGGAACTCTTCCTCACAACATGTTGTTTTCCATATTCACTTTGATTGGTGCTACATGACAACATGAATCATATCCTAGATGAGAAGTTATGAGGAAGGCTGGGGGGAGCATCTTGTCTAAGGACTCTCCATGAAAGGTTTTGCCCCAGTAGAGGGGAGTCTATCCCACTCAACCGGAGTTAGTTTTCCAGTGCATTCACTCATTAGAAATCTCATCACATATTTTTATAGCTTCTGTTCGTAAATTCCTGAATCTTCACCTTGCAAATTAAAAGGTAGATGGAATGCAAAAATGTAAACTTATTTGAGTATCATTACAGGTTAGTATGACCTTAGCTACTAATAATTATTATTTCTAATATACTGGAAAGAGCCTGAGGTGTTTAAAAGGTAGACACTAGATCAAGCCTTCCTAGTTATAAGTCCTATACCTGTTCACACTGAAAAAGGAATTGAATATCTGTATCTCAGTTTCTTCATTGGTATAATCAGCATGGAATTACTCTGAGAATTGAATAAGTTAATCTGCATAAAGTATCTAGAAGAATACTTGGTACATAAATAAATATTCAATACATATTGTCTATTATTATTCTTATTAATAAGATCATAAGTTGTTAGTAATAATAATTTTGTTATATTAATAATGGAGATGCTAGAACCATCAGAAACACTAACTAAAGGATTTGAAGAGGAAAGAAGAACGTTTAGCACCAAATGTGGCTTCTGTTCACTGAGTTTGTTCGTTCTTTTATTTATTTGATATTTATTGAACATGTACTATGTGAAAGGTCCTATAGACAGTCCTGGGAATTCAGACCAGTAAACCATGGCCTCTCCTCTCAAACCACAGATAAATGAAAGAGATAGCCCTTCCAAGGAGTTAAATTTAGCTTGATCCTTGTTATAATGAAGTTATTTATTAAATACCATGGAATCCAAAGGTGGCATTAAGTCAGGGAAGGCTGCACAGAGAATCAAGGAGCTGACCCTCGAAACTGAGTTCTCCAGGAAAAAAGGGAAGCAAGGGAGGAGGATCCCAGCAGAGGGGCGGTCGGCAAACATGTCCAGACCCTGCCAGACGGGGGTCCAGAAGGAAACAGTCTCAGACCTCATTTAAAAATGGCCCTTTTTAGAAGCTTTTTAGTCAAACCACTGCCCGAGTGAAAAGTAAAACAGTAGTAGGTTAGCCACAGGGATTCTCAAGTCACTTGACTTCAAATCGAGGCAAATCTTGGACAAGTTACATCTGATTTTGAATCAACTTATTTGGTAATCCTCAGTTTCCCCAGCTGTGAAATGGCGTTTTTGTGAGACTTAGCTGAGTATTCAAAAGATTGCCTATTATCATTTTCCTTAATAATAACCAGAACATCCACTTTGAATGGCCTGTGATAACCAGGAGCTATTTTAGACCAGAAACTGAATGTGTGTT